TGCGCAATATCTCACCAGAAGAGTTATATTTTGTGATGACTATGCATTTAATATGGTTAGGGGGTATCTCAGCATAGATTTATGCAATAAATTCTTATCAGTACGCCAGTACGCAAAAGAGCGTCCTATAGCATGTAGGGTGCAAAACTCCTACTCCCCCCCCCCCACCCTTCCCCCATTGCCTCCCTTTTTCCTCGCTCAGCGTCCTTTTTCTTCTATGGCCCTCAGCTATCTCCCCTGTCGCGTTTCCTCGGTCTCCCACCCTTCTGTCCGTCAGCAAGCTATATGGTGTAGTTTTCATTCGCATGTACTGCACGTCTGAAACGGTGTTTGCGCATGCGCAATATCTCCCGAAAAGAATGTTATTTTGCAGAAATTATGCACTTAGAATAAAGAGGTGTTATTCTAGCATAAATTTACATGATAACATCCCATCAGTAGACCTCACTTAAGAAATAGGAAGAAGACCTTGCATGTAAGGTCCCCGCTGCGTATATATACCTGCCAGTACAAAATATGGCAAAGTTAGTGTGTTATTGCATGCGCAATATCTCACCAGAGGAGTTATACTTTGTGATGAATATGCATTTAACATGGCCAGGGGGTATCTGATCATAGATTTATGTAATTAATTCTTATCAGTAGACATGTGTTTATAATTAGGAGAGCGCCCTAGACTGTAGGGCGCAAAACTCCTACTTCACCCCCTCCCATTCTTCCCCATTGCCTCCCTTGTTCTTCGCTCAGCGTTCTTCTTCTTCTACGGCCCTCAGCTATCTCCCCTGTCGCGTTTCCTCTGTGTCCCATCCTTCTCTCCGTCAGCAAGCTATATATGGTGTAGTTTTCATTCGTCTGTACTGCACGTCTGAAACGGTGTTCGCGCATGCGCAATATATCCCGAAACGAATGTTATTTTGCAGAAATTATGCACTTAGAATGAAGAGGGGTTATTCTAGCATAGATTTACATGATAATATTCCTTCAGTAGACCTCATTTAAGAAATAGGAAGAAGACCTTGCATGTAAGGTCCCCGCTGCGTATATATACTTGCCAGTACAAAATCTGGCAAAGTTAGTGTGTTATTGCCTGCGCAATATCTCACCAGAGGAATTATATTTTGTGATGAATAAGCATTTAATATGGTCATGGGGTATCTAAGCATAGATTTATGTAATTAATTATTATCTGTATACTTGAGTTTAAAATTGGGGGAGCGCCCTAGCCTGTAGGGTGCAAAACTCATACTTTACCCCCTCCCATCCTTCCCCCATTGCCTCCCTTGTTCCTCGCTCAGCGTCCTTCTTCTTCTATGGCTCTCAGCTATCTCCCCTGTCGCGTTTCCTCTGTCCCTCACCCTTCTCTCCGTTAGCAAGCTATATGGTGTCGTTTTCATTCGTCTGTACTGCACGTCTGAAACGGTACTCGCGCATGCGCAATATCTCCCGAGAAGAATGTTATTTTGCAGAAATTATGCACTTAGAATGAAGAGGGGTTATCCGAGCATAGATTTATGTGATAACATCCCATCAGTAGACCTTACTTAAGAAATAGGAAGAAGGTCTTGCATGTTATGTCCCTGCTGCCTATACCTGCCAGTACAAAATCTGGCAAAGTTAGTGTGTTATTGCATGCGCAATATCTCACCAGAGGAGTTATACTTTGTGATGAATATGCATTTAATATGGTCAGGGGGTATCTGAACATATATTTCTGTAATTAATTCTTATCAGTAGACCTGTGTTTATAATTAGGAGAGCGCCCTAGCCTGTAGGGCGCAAAACTCCTACTTCACCCCCTCCCATCCTTTCCCATTGCCTCCCTTGTCCCTCGTTCCGCGTCCTTCTTCTTTTACGGCCCTCAGCTATCTCCCCTGTCGCGTTTCCTCTGTCTCCCACCCTTCTCTCCGTCAGCAAGCTATATGGTGTAGTTTTCATTCGTCTGTACTGCACGTCTGAAACGGT